TCATTACATATTATCAATAATCCAAACAGACTATGTAATGTAGATGAATAATTTGAAAGTAAACTATAAGTAGAAGTCAAATTTATGTCATCATCCAGGTTCCCTGCTATGCTGTCAGTTATTGTAATCACTGCTGGAGATCCACTGTAATCACAGGTTGAGAACCACTGACTTAGAAGACTCAATCAGACTGATCAGGGTGGCACAGCTAGGCAGAGTCAGATCAACGTTTTCACCTGCCAAGCGCCTTCCTCTTCTCACTGTACTGCATGAAACCGCGTGCAAGCATGCCAAGTGTGATGCAAAAATCTCAGCGGCATGTGCATCGAATGAGTGGTAGAAGTGGCATAGCCTATGTTAAAACATGCAGTGATCAAACAACTTATACTAGCGAAGATGCCTGTTTTGGCTCAGAGGCTCTGTGATCTCGCTGGGTAGCCCAATTGCTTCTGGATCTATGACAAGGTCAGAACATGTGGACACATGGGCAGATCATGACACAAGACCAGCACACTGCGTCTGGATTGCCTTTCTCAATGCCCCAATAATGAAACGCCTTCTGTTCCACCCTTTGGTCCAGCACACAGGCCTTGGAAGGTCAGTTACTTAAACCACACATTTCTCTCCCTTGGTGCGGGTATCCAGCTCATGACCTGGTTTATCAGAATGTAGCCCTCTACCCTTTAACTATATCCAACCCCAAACTATGGCATTCAATTTCTGGCCCCCAAAGGCTTATGTTCATTCATAATTCAAAATCCGATTGGTCCCCTTTTCAGGGTCCCCAAAGTTTTAATCATTTCTTCTTTGCTCAAAAGTCCAACTTCAATGTCTCCCCTAAGACTCAAAGCCAACTCAACTTACATTATATTCAAAGTCTCTGTGAGCAGCACAGAGAGTGTGATCTCCCAGGCCTTGGGCAGAATTCCTGGATGCAGCCTCTATGTCTTCTGTTGAGCATGTTTTACATTCTGTCTGCGCTTGTCTTGGCAAGAATTCAGAGCCCCTGGCATCTCTAGCTTCATGGGGTCATCACCGCGGCTTTCACCCACCATCCTAGCAGGAGCCACCTGCAGGAACTCTAATGCTGCGGAAAACACTGCCCGGCCTCCCAGTCTTTTCTCTGAAGTGCTGATAGAGCCTCCTTTATCCCATGACTCTGGTCTTGTGCCGGCCTTGTAAAACCAGCATGATCTGGATGGTGCCAAAGTCACCGAATCCAGCGGAGCTTGCAGCTGCGTATATGGAAACTCTGAACAGCCTCTGAGGGTCTCGCCGGCTGAACAGAGGGCAGTGAGTCCCTGGCTGGTCCTGGATGAGCAAGTCACCTCCAGCTCTGTCCTCAAAAGAACTGGAAGACAGGAAGACTTCCGTGAAACAGTGTCTTATGGAAATGGCAGGGAGGTTGCACACATGAACTTGCAAAAGCTGTGGCTGCTTGAATAAGATCTAGTAAATCAAACACCAGCATGGATAGAGATGGGCTCAGGAAGTCCCTTCACCCCAAATGAGGGGTTACTGGCAATTGACAGTTGCTTGGGGAGGGAGGTTAGTTTGTTTTAAGGTGTGTCCCCTGGTAAATTATGTCTCAGTGGGTGGTCCTTTTAGGGCAGCACTATCCATAAAGGAGAAGAGTACATGAAAGGGGGTGGGGAATGAGAGGAGTGTATGAAGGGAGGCAGCAGGGTGTACATTAAGGGAGAGGTAAGACATGAGTGCACGGAGGGATGTGTGGGAGGAGTGTATGCTGGGGAGCATGGGAGGAATACTGTACTTGTTACAGTACATGTACTAAAAGTTTCCTGTTTATCTGTGGTATGATTTCTGGAGGTCACGCTGAGAACAATTTCACAATGCTTGTATATCATTTGTTTTCTTCATTCTTCTCTTAATAAGTATTTATGGGCATAATTAGGCAAAGAGATAACAAATTATCTCCAGAGTTGCCCTAAGTCTATCACAGCTCATAAGAAAGACGGGTTTGTAGTTTATCAGTGTGAGTGCTGGATTATCTATGGGTGAAGAGGTTCTCAAAGGGAATTCGATGTATGAGAACCCAGATACAGCCTCACAGAAATGTTGAATGGTGCATAGAGAATGGAAGGACTTCTGGTCTACCACACATCTACAGAGCCATCGATGGGGAGGGTAGGAGGTTAGTGGTGATCAGCATGGGGAGCCAGTTTGAGGAAAGCTTGGCATTTCCACCTGCCATCTTTGAGTTTTCTCTGGGATTAGAAGGTGTGGGAAGACCTATGCAACAGGCTGCCTCTCACCCACTTGGAGACACCACACTCTATGATGCTTGGGCTACAAGATGGCATACAGGATATTAGGATATCAGGCAATGGATGCATATCTTGGCAGCATGTAAATGAAAAAGTCCCTGCCAGTAATGGCAGTCCAGTAGCTTCACAGAGACCTTCCTTCTTACGGTGTAGGAGGTTGTTTCCAGCCAGATCAAAGTTTTAAGGAAGAAGAAAGGAACTCACTTAAAATGATATTGGTGACATTTAATTATATTTTAAAGTCTGAGAAGATTCAGAAACTTATCCCAGCTGAGCTATAAAGATCTCATTCCAGATGCATAAATGGCTGTCTGGGATCTGGATGAGGTCAAAGGAGGAAATACCACACGCAGCCAGAACTTCTAACATTCCACAGACCTCATTCTGGAAGTCCCTTTGGTCTAGCATCAATGTGTTTTCCTGTAGTTTCAGCTCATTTCCTTGTTTCAGTCCTCAGGGAGGGTAAGAAGCAGACAGCTGTAAATCACCAGATAATGACCCTCTATAAACTTGAGGCACATGAACTCATCTCTCAGCCCTTACCTTCCTGGGGAGAACAACTACAGGCCCTGAGTTCCTGAGTCTGAACAATAGGAACTCTTCATGTTCTAGTCATAGATGTGCCCTTCTGAATCCCCCATTTGTCTTCTCCTGGTGACTGGCACACCACTTCTCATGTGGGTGAGATGGTTACCAGCAAACAGGATGGGAGAGCATCTTCAACAAATGCATCATCATTCCCAGACCCTCTGGGAACACTTCTCTTGGAGATCACTGAATCTGTGAACAGCATCAAATGCTCTGTTACATTTCATTGTAAAGCAACATGTTCCTATTGCTTGAGACCAAGACAGCATCTAGATTCATTTTGTGTGGACCCAATTTCCCATACTATGTTTGGGGATTCTAAACAGTACTTTTTTCTTTGTGGTTATAGTCCTTGGCTTCTTGAAAGTCCTCTGCCCCTTATATGTTCATTTCTAGGTCCTTTCCTCCCTTCACACTTTTATTTGGTCATCATTTTACTTGGATAGTCAGAAATTATGACAATGTATTATTTATGATTTATTAAAGCTTCCCTACAGGTACAAAAAACTCGCCACAGCCATACAGCCAGGCAATGATGATACACGTCTTTAATCCCAGCAGCCATACTAGCTAGACACAGAGGCCAGGCAGTGGTGGTACACAACTCAAATCCCAGGACTCTGGAGACGGAGGCAGATAGGTCTCTGTCAGGTCAAGGTCACACTGAGCTACACAAAATTGATCCAGTCTGAACGAGAAACAGAGCTCACACAAATGTGATCTCAGCACTTGGAATCCCATGCCTTTAATCCCAGTACTAGGGAGGTGGAGACGAGAGAGTGTTAGGGCTGGGAGGAGGGAGGAATATAAGGCAGGAGGAAACTGAGAGGATTGCCGTCTGAGGCGTGGTGGAGGGCAGTGCACTCTGCATTGCCTGCTAAGGATTTGTGGAGCCAGAATCATCCAATTCAGCCTCAGGTGGAGGTAAGAGCTGGTGGCTGGCTGCTTTGCTTTTCTGATCTTCAGTGGTGTTATTAAATTATAAATAATATATCCCTAGAGCACAAATGGACTTTGGGAGCCCATTCCCTATGGAGGGATACTATTGCAGCCCAGATACGGGAAGGAGGGCTTGGGCCCTCCCCCAAATGATGTGATGGCCTTTGATGGTCCCCTGTGGAAGGCCTCACTATCCCTGGGGAGTGAGTGGGGGGATGGGTTGAGGGGTCAGTGGGGAGCATGGGAGGATGGGAGGGTGAGGTAATGGGGGGATTGATATGTAAATAAGAGTGCTTCTAAAATAAAAAAAACAATATATATATACATATATATATATATATATATCACCAAAAGAAACGGTTCATGCTTTTGCTTCTCTGTACAGCTAAACATCTTACAACTTGTAGATGCTCATTTGAAAGGGTTGTGGATGCCTCTTTGTGTTTCTTTGGAGCAGGTCGGGGCATCCGTTGAGAGCTAATCCCTGCTTTCCAACATCACTACAGTCAAGTGATGGCAGTTACTGGGCATTCACTTTGACCCAGACACTGCAATAGACAAGGGCTTAACCTTGTCACTGTAGGGAATCTGATTCTTGCTTTCCAGGAACTGGGAACCTGTAGCGAGAGGGATTCATCCTGCTCATTTATCCTAGGACCTGGCAGAGCAGAATATCCTTAGTATGAAGTACAAGATGATTGTCTAAGGTGTGGCACTGCTCCCAGTTGATCTGTCCCCACAGGGTTTAAATATGCACTTTTTCGCTGAATCTGCCAACACGTACAAGTTAAAATAATGTAAACTTTCCAGGAATTCTCTTCTTGAAATGAAATCAGTGTTTAATATTAAGTAGTGTTAGCAGTTCAGCACTGCGGTGAGTAATTGAAATAGGGCAAGAATAAACACTAGAGTCCACGTAAGACTAGTATAATTGAAGTAGACTAAGAGTAAATCCTAGAGATCATATAAGACTAGCATAGTTGAAATAGGCCAAGAGTAAATCTTAGAGCCCATAATGGCTAATAAACAAGTACTAAAAAATAAAAACTACAGGGGCTGGCACTTGCTATTCTTGCAAAAGACCCGAGTTCAGTTCCCAGCAAGTACATGGCAGCTCCACCATCTTTAATTCCAATTCCAGGAGATCAAATGGACTATTCTGGCCTCAGCAGGCCCCAGGCACATTCAGGCAAGGCATTTACATGCATACAGTAAATACAATTAAAATAAAACCAACAAAAATCAGTATCTTCCATATGACTCCCAGGATTCCTGTAGGCATAGACATCAGAGAAGCCATTGGGACTGGTCTGCTGGAACACAATGTATTTCTTGGCCTTTTATTCACATGACCATCACTTATAATCAGACAATGAGATCCATGACCTCCTCCTTTTCCTGAAATCTACAGACAACGTGCTGTAGACTTTGCGTTTATAGATAAGACTCGAGTCCACTGGCCAGCTGTTTTCACAAGGGACTGAGGATTTGTTAGTTAACAATTTGTTCTGTGGAGTCAGAAGCCAGAGTCATAATCTGGTAGCATAGTACCGAATAGTTACAAGGAGCTATTTCCAGTCTTCTGTGATGGAGATTCTCCTGGAATATAGGAAAGAGAATACTAAAGAAGGTTAGAAGACACCACCCAACATTTCGACTTTGCCACATTCGACACAATTCACACTTGAGAAATGAGTAATTAATCTTAAAAATCTGCTCCCTCATCCTCCAATGTGATAAGTAAGTTTCCAGTTTTGGGCTATCCTTGTCTAGCCACTTGTTGCCTATGGACTGAAAACTGACCTTAACTGCTAGTAAATTAAAACAACAAAACTCAGAAAGTTTCATTATGAGCAGCCTTGAGTCTTCTAACAAAATAAAATGCAATGCAAAGGAGAAATAAATGGGGAAGCCATCATTGTAAGAAGGTTTGGATCCTTGCTAGGGAGCCCTGGAGAAGTAGGGAACTATGTAGCTGCCCAGTGCTAGGAAATACAAGGTGATGTGACTAATCCCCGCTTCTTGGACGACGTTTGCTAAGTAGCATTTTGTGCTGCTCTGGGTAGGTTTTTCTGTGTCATCTGAGTCTAGATCTAAGTCAAATAGACTGTGGGGATTTAAGCCTCATCCTTTATCAGGACTAATAGACCCAGAGACCCAAATGAGACTTCAGAGTCAATGGGTCCACAGGCCGTTTGTCAAGTTAATTCTATTACAGAGGTTCTCTGCTGCCTCTTCTCTTGGGGAGGAGAGTTGAACCCTCAAGGGGAGCTTTGGTGCTGGGCTTTTGTCCCCTGAGCTGTAGCCTTGAGCATTCTTTGATGGTTCCTTCCTCTCCTGTACCCTTGCTTAGGTTCCCAGCCGCATTTCCCTTTTCAGTGTTCTTATTATAGAGCCAATGCCTATGTCATTTCCTTCATCTGTGCTGGATCCTTTGTGTTTATTTTTTTGTTTTGTCGTGGGGAGAGGCACCAGCAGGCTGGTGTGTGGTGACAGGACCCAGACGTCTGGCAGCTGGGCCCTCAGCTCAGGAAGGAGGTGGAAGCTCAGATCTTAAACCAAAATAGACCCTTGGCTCTGTCCCAGATGGCATGATTATACCCGTGCCAGTGAAAGGAAATCCATTCTCACCTCCGCTGTCCTCACACGTTACGGTTGGGAGTCCTCAAATACTCAGGTGCTCCCCCCACGTTGCTCTTCACCGACAGTTCCGTCATAAAGCTCACGTTGGATCAAGGCAAGAGTCATCGGAGGCTGCTGACAGTCCAACTATTTTTCCAATCCTGATAGATTTTGTTGATTATTCTGTAAGTATAAACATGAAGACAATTACTTTCTCATCATAAAAATTATAGTATGCTTGTATTGGACATGTTGGGGAGGGGCAATACCAGGAAAATTTATCTTCAATACTACATTCAAATGTAACCATCATTGGTCTTTATATGCTACAAGGTTTCATGTTTATTAGATTGGCCTCCAACTCCAGCTCCCTATTTGGCCAGCAATCCTGCCCCACCTCCAGAATGCAGCTCATGTGATGGTGACATTGAACCCAGGCTTCCTGCTTGTTAGGCGAGCCTCCCAACTGAGCCACATCCCTGCTCAGCTAACTTGTGTCATCAATAAAAATTATGGTGTCTTTAAAAAAGATTCATTGATATTCATTTTATATTCCCGAGGTAGAGTATGTTCTAACAGGATTGCATTTTCATATAATAAACTATATCCATTTTTGCTCCTGTACCCACCACCACCAACATCAAGGTATCAATCGCACCCCCAGAGTTACCTTATATGTAATACCCAACTTAAGGCCTGCTTGTGGTTGGCGGTGAGCTGCTTCCTATCACATGCATTCTCAAGTATCTCTTACGGCATAATTCTTATACGTCTAACATTACAAACCTGTATGTGTTACCAAAGTTGTTTTTATTTCGTAAACACATCATGAACACTTTCTATGGTTTTAATTATTGTCTTAAAATTTAATTTGCAGTGATAAATGTTTTATAGCTATGCCTTAATTTTTTCATAAATAAGATCTTCCTATGAACAGTTGATGGCTTGAATACACTTTTATGTAATTTCCCAATTTCTATAGGATAAATTTCTATTAAAAGCCAATGGGCAGGCAAATTTTAAAACATTCTATATATACTATGTGAATATATAATATACTACACACACACACACACACACACACACACACACAAGGTCTCACTATGCAGCCTGGTTATCCTGGAACTCACTGTGTAGGCCAGTCTGACTTCAAACTCACAGAGATCCACCTGCCTCCTGAGTGTTGGGATTAAAGGCATGAACCACTACACCCAACTACTATGCAAATCTAGTCTCACAAAAGCAACGTGCTAAAATATATGTAGGAGAAAAAGCAGTCTGGGGTGATCTTTAACCAGGGGGTGGATCCCTGGTAAGACACACCTGTATTCATTCTTGTTTGGTATTCATGAATCTTCAGTGGCTGTGATTATTTTAAAAGTCTCTATAGGCTATCCCATGGTGCATCTCAGATGACCCCGAAGGTGACCAGCTTGTCTTTAGGATGACCCTGGTATTGGGCACATAGGAACAGAAAGTTGAGCATGTACTGATGAAAACTAGAAACCAAGAGGGGATTTTCAATGCCTCCTCGTTCCCTGCAGTCCTGATGCTCCACCAGGGCAACTGCTCCCTACGTTGTCCCTGAAAAACAATGGTGGTAAATAACTGCACAGTTTTCTCTCTACCCAGCAACCACAACCAGCCATCTGGACCCCTCCTTGGTGGACCTGTCAGTTAAAATAGTGCTTTAAGCTGAAAATGCCAGGGCCACTTAGACAACATTCAAAGTGAAAAGGGCCCAAAACCATCTGAAGGGAGCAGCGATTAAATAATCTAACCTTGAAGGCAGTGCCACAACTGAGTGGGATCCTCATTTCCAGGACACATTAACCCCCAATTAAAGAATGCAGCAGCCATCAATAAAGTGCTGCTGCAGAGCACGCCCAAGGCCCTGGGTTTGCTTCCCAGAGCCCACACACAAAAGCCCGGAGTGGTGGAATACTGTCATGATCCCAGAGCTGAGGAGGCAGGGACAGGTGGTGTTCTGTGGCTCACTGACAGACAGCCTGTCCAAGTTTCTGAGTTCTAGGGCAGTGCGGTACCTTGTCTCTCTCGCCTATGCACAAAAAGATGGATGGCACCTGAGGATTGAGACCTTAGAGCTCCCTCCGGTTTGCTGCACACACGTATGCTTTCTCTCACACAGACAATACACAGCATACTAATAGTATGTACATACACTGCGGTATGCACTCACACACATAATGTCACACTTATCGTCTACTCTGTCAGTCAGTCTGTCAGTCTGTCTGTCTGTCTGTCTCTCTCTCTCTGTCTCACACACAGACAATACACAGCATACTAATAGTATGTACACACACTGTGGTATGCACTCACACACAAATTTGTCACACTTACTGTCTTCTCTGTCTGTCTGTCTGTCTGTCTGTCTCTGTCACACACAGACACACAGACACACAAAGGAACACTACCTTGACTGTGTTCTGGCTCACTGTGCAGGAACTCCAGTCCTTCTCCACTCCCCAACTCCGTCTCTTCGTCTTCCTCTGGAGAAAATAACCAGAGAGAAGCAAAGACTACCCTCAGTTGAGCTGGGGAAGGTGTCCGTCTGTCTTGATGCTACTGTAGTCATGCAGACCCACCGTTTGCCACTGTCCCCCACTGTGACCACAAAACACTGATGTTTTCTCTCAAGACTCAGAATGACACGGGGACAGTAGACGAGGCTATGCTGAACACTCACCATGGAAGGGAGTTTGATTCAATCACCAGGACATGGGCTACGAGATGATGTACCACTACAATCTCAATATCTCACCGCAGCAGTTAGTACATTGAGATATCCCTGACTCTACTCCAGGCTTGTTCTGTGATTCATTCTTGGCTCTGTAGGGCAATGACGTGAACATAGCAGCATGTCCCCCACTCTTTCTCTTAGAGAAAGTTCTTTCTAAGATCCCCAATGATGATCATTCATTAAGAAAGTAGTGGGTCCCCTCTCCTTAAGAATTCTCACAATGAACATGGCCCACAGAATCTACTAAGCAGGCCTCCCATGGGCTCACAGAGACTGAAGTGGCGAGCACAGGGTCTGACCAGGTCCTCTGTGTACATGTGACATCTGTTTGCTTGGTGTTTTTGTGCGACTCCTAACAGTGGGAGTGGGGATGTCTCTGACTCTTGCATACTCTTGGGACTCTTCCTCATATTGAGTTGCCTGTCCAGCCTTGATATGAGGGCTTTTGCTTTGTCTTATTGTATCATGTTTTATCATGCTCCGTTGTTGTCTCTCGGAGGCCTGCTCTTTTCTAAGGGAAATTATGGGAGAGTGGAGCTGGGGGAGCTGGGAGGAATGGAGAGAGGGGCAATGGTGGCCAGGATATATTGTATCAGAGAAGGATCTATTTTCAACTGAAAAGAAAATGAAAAAAGAAGAAATTCTCCAGGACAGGCTGCCACGTAGACTGTCGAGGTGAGGGTCACATTTAAATTTCTGCTGGGCCTTCCAGCAAACACACCATCGATTCCTCCAATCACAGCATGCTTGCAAGGAACCAGGGTTTCAGACACAAACCACTTCAAAGCTAGAGAAAAACCCTTTCTAGGGAGAGCCTGTGCAGCCAGAAAAGGTTAAGTCAGACAGTGCAGGAGCCACAAGCTCTTTTCACTACCATCTTACTCGAGTGTGAGCTTCTGATATGTGAGTTTGCAGAGGTTTCGGATAGAAAAGAAAGCGGTCCATAAATCGGTGGAGAACTGCTCCCACCTGCTCCTGGGGAACAGTCCTTCTTCCTGCAGGGCTCACAGGCTGTTGTCTCTCCACCTTCAACGCTAATACCTAACTGCTGTTTGCAGATTAATATAGGCAAGGCCCTGGCCATCGATCTCTGTCCTTCCTGAAGACCTGCATTTTAGCTGAAACCTTTGTTGTGTAGAAACAGAAGGCTGGATTGGTAGAATGGAACACTGTTCAGCAGGTTTTAGAAAATTTGAGGGCACAAGAAAAGAAATGGAGAAAACTTTAGGACATGGGTATAATCAAAGCCACAAGATACACCTTTAATGTAAGTTTAGCTGATGTTACTGTGTTGTCATCAATTCTGGTGCCCAAAACTCATGAAATCTGTCATTTTCTAAAACAACTTTGTTTTTACCTTGAACCCAGTGTGTTGGGAGCATAGCAAGAAAGTCCTTGTGCCCATAGATCCCCAGAGAAACCAGGAATGTTAAGCACTCAAGATTGCCTTTCTAATGAAAAAGATGAAAAACCTATTCATTCATCCAGAAATCTGAGAATTGGTGATCTGTGTCATCTGTTGGGCGAGGCCATATCAAGCTTCTACAACTAGGAATAGAGGTTATTAGTAACCTAAATGACCCTCATAGCCAGAGGCTCCCCAAGCTCTCATAACCAGGACCAGAGGTGGCTTTAGCTATGACTGAGACCAGGCCAGATCCTTCCTTAGGCCCTTAAACTGGTATGTCTAGAACCCATCTTCTTGAAGGAAATGACATGTACTCTGAGTTGAGTTTCAGTGTAATTATGCAACAGGGATTGTATTATACCAGGAAGCTTTTTTTTCCAAATTATACTGAGCTTAAATACATTGTGAACAAACTGCCTGTAATTAGATTACCCGAAGTCTAATTCAGGTTGACTAAATCAATATGCACCGGGTTTTCATTCTTACACTTTTGCGGAGTTAGCTTCCCTGTAAGACACTGCAGGAACAGATCAGTGATTTGTTTTTTTTAATTTCAACTCTGCCACATTCAAAACCTCGCCCAGTTGTCCTCTGTGTCTCTAAAGTGAGAGACTGCAGTACTGCCAAGAAGAAACCACCAGTTGCTCAAATACAATGTTTTGACATCTTTGTACATTATTCATGTAGAACTTTAAGCTTAAAACGAGGACAGCTAAATTTCAGAGATTGATTTATCATTTATCACTTATTATATATATATATATATATATATATATATATATATATAATTTACCAAGTCAGCTTCCTGTCTCCCAACTAAGTAGAGTACTGACCATTGGTGAAGTACCTAGCCAAAAGTAAGTTCCCATTTTTGTGGCATCTTTGTTATGCAAACATGACCTAGGCTTGGAAGGCAACTCAAGAATAAGGAAGACTACAGAGCTAGACATTGCCTTGAGCACAGGCTGCTCAGATGCCCTCTGCTCTGCTACCTTGGAGAAGAGACCAAGGACCCTGTTAGCTTTCCCAGTGTCTTAGGAAGAGTTTGTGTTTTGCATTTCCTCTATAAGTCTAGGCTACTTGACTAGCACAGAGTTAAGGCAAGTTCCCTGAACTTCCTTCTTTACTGTGTCCCCTAACCTTCCCTGTGCCCCCTGGCTAACTGGGCACAATTGTCTCTTTACCTCCACTCCCAGGACAGCTCTTTGTTTCACCCTTTTAAACAGAGTCTGTGTTTTCTAAGTGATGTTATTTAATATTTTATTTCTGTGATCTCTTATCTGACTTTTAAGTATATGACTGTGTCTCCTACATTTGTTTGATTATGACACCTCTGACAAAGAATGATAACGGAGGCCATGACATCTAGATATTGATGTTTCTTCAAATAGATGGTGATTGTTTCAAAGGCAAAGGCCATGTTTGAATAATCTTCGCATCCTACACAAATTCTGAGAACATAGCAGGAGTGCTGCGCATCGGCAGTGAATACATAATAAACTTATCCTTTCTGCTAACAGAGAGTGCCATACGCCCTCATCTGCTTGTAGTTCATACATCCAGATGAAAGCAGCAGTCAGTCAGTAGTCATGTTGCTCATTCATCACCAGGTGCCCGTTTGCTGGTAATGCTGATATTTAATCTGAGTCAAAGCCAACACATCTGGAGACCTTAGCAATACGAGGAAAGTTAGCTCCTGCAGGAGTCCACAGAAAGCTTTGAGTAGCACCACAATAAAATGACAGACTCCCATACTGGCTCCCAAGCTCTATTCCAGTATCCCCCTCCACCATCTGGAATTGAGCTACATATGAACCATTGCAGCCTGAACCCACTGCTCACTGCTCACTGCACTCAGGCTGCAGGAACAGCAGCATGCCAGTGTCAACCTTCTATCTAGTAGCAGATCGTGATTTGAAAGAATCCACGTCCTCTGTGAGTATGATATCTCCTTCATATTCTTTGAGTTGCCTAGTAACCTCAACTTAAGATTGAATTCTAGAAGGCTTGTTTTAAAAGGGTCTATCCAGTTCTATAGATGGTAGTTTACTGAAAAACAAAACAAAACAACCAGAATCTGAATTCTTTGGTCGCCTTATTTTCTGAGGATGATGTTGTCTGCTGGGAGGTTCTTGTGCTGAAACACAGTAGCTGTTCCCAGTGTAGCTAATTCCAAGAATGCTTAAGCCAAGGCCCCAGAACACAGTTCCCATTAGGACAAGAGAAAGTATGAGACACTCATCACCTTCAACGCTGCAGGATCAGCGCGTTGCTGAGAGGTCAGGAGGGACGAAGAGTTCCCACTTCTTTCACTGACTCCAGTTCTACATTTAAAACCTGGACTCCTTGTTCACGTCTTACCCACCCCTGCAGCAGCAAAAGTCCTGGATTCCGTGACAGCCAAGAGGAGCGCCATCCTCAACCGATGAACTGTTGTTAAACATAGCAGAATGCTACCCATACCTCAGACGTTAGTAAATAACAGTGGGTCTTTACTAGGGGTGATGGTGATAGTAATGTTACGTATTAGCTAGGTCTGACAAAGTGGTACTCAGTGTCTGGACTCTGTTTAATGATTTCAAAATTATTGAAGGAATTCAAGTGGGGAAAACTGTTCTTCATATGCATGTCCATCAAGTTTCCCCAATAGTCAGTGTTAAAAATGCAGCTCCATTATTCACCTTATCTGGCCTGACCTAAACTCACCTAATCCCACTGTGCCAGTTACTGAGGGTTGTTAAATTCTTCCAGTCGATTACAAGCCACACACTGCTGACTCTAATGGTGTGGAGCCTGGGTTTAGTCCATGCTCCTTCCTTCCTTCCTTCCTTCCTTCCTTCCTTCCTTCCTTCCTTCCTTCCTTCTTTTCTGTCTTCCTTTCTTTCTTTCAGTTATTAACAATATCTTTGTACTATATTCTCCCGACAATAAACTGTGGTTAAGATAGGGCTTATGTAAAAATTAAGTCGCAGAAGAAGTGAGTGTGGGAGACGCAGGGCTCAACAGATGACATTTAGTCACATTTTCTTTGATGACAAGTACTCAGAATGTGACACTCCTGAATTATCTAGAATCAAACACGAAAAGACTTGGCATCTTCATGAGAAATGAAGAGCACAGGCAATAACCAAGGGATGATTTCAGAGTAGTCATGGTAGAATGGTCCCGGTTAATAGCAAAAAATAGATAACACTATGAAAACTGTAATGTTATTTTTTAAATCCAAAATGATTTGCTGTAAATATTTTTTGAAGACATAACATTAGTATTCTCGAAGAACAAACATTTGTTAGGAAGTTCTTTGTGCAAGGTAAGACACTAAAAGAGGCTATATATACTTATGT